TTCCTCTATGAGGAAGCAAAATGAACTTATAAACTAAGCTTAACACTACAGTACCGCGTAACTTAGCTTAAACATAAAGGTTAAGAGTCTATTGGCAATATTGATATTTTGGACAATGGTCTAACTAAAGAACCATTTGACGTTTTCACGGTAGCGGATCGAGCATTGCCGTCAGAGTCATTGTGCACTTGTTCCACGCGTCCAAGTATCCAGTTCAACGGTGCCAGACCTTGCTGCTTTAGGAGCACCAGCTGATCCTGTTTCAATTGTCGGCCCTTGTTGATTTTCCACTTGTGACGCTCCTGCAGAGAATGCAGATATTCCGTGCTCCATCTGCGCCAGAAGTGCTGCCTTAGCTGCTCGACGCGCTGCCATCGTACTAGGCGATTTTCATTGACATCGCATAAATCGCTAGAAGGGAAACCATTCAAGAGAGTGCCAACCAAAAAGTGCCCGGGAGTAAGATACGTTAGATCATTCGGATCCGAGCTTAATTGTGTGAGGGGTCTCGAATTCAGAATTGCCTCAACTTCGCATAAAACGGTTTGTAACTCCTCGAAAGTTAAATGTGCCCTCCCAATGATTCGGTACAGGTGATATTTTGCTGATTTTACAGCCGCCTCCCATAGCCCCCCAAAGTGAGGAGCGTTTGGTGGAATGAAGTTCCATGAGGTTCCCTGATCGCGTAAAAAATTGTTGATATCGGCTTGCACGCTATCACGACTTAGTGACTCATAGAACTCCCGCAACTGTCTCTGGGCGCCTACGAAGTTGGTCCCATTGTCCGAATAAATGGCCATGGGTTTGCCCCTGCGCGAAACGAAACGTTTGAGTGCCGCGATAAAGGCGTCAGAAGTAAGGTCGCTCACAAGTTCAATATGAACCGCCTTGGTGGCAAAACAAACAAAAACTGCAACGTAAGCCTTGCTGTGCCGAGCGTTACGTCGTTTACCTTCGCGTATTAGTAACGGTCCGGCATAGTCTATTCCGCAATGATGAAATGGCCTGGAAACTGTTATACGCCCCGCAGGTAATGCGCCCATTATCGCTTCTGAGCTAGTCGGTTTAATTTTAAAACATGTGACGCAATTCTGCAAAGTTTTGCGGGTGACCGACCGCAGGGACAAGGGCCAAACATGTTGCCTTACGGCAGCCATAGTTGCCTGTAACCCAGCATGAGCATTGCGCTCGTGCTCTCTTAGTATGATGAGCCTTGTTAATGTATGGTTCCGCGGAAGCAATATCGGGTGACAGGCGTCAAATGACAGTTGTGCATTTTTTAATCTACCGCCCACACGAATCAGACCGTCGGTATCCATGAAAGGTGACAACGATAGCAAATTGCTAGTTGTTCTGATAGTTTCACCCTTGATTAAGGCTCGATATTCTTCGGGAAAACCCGTTTTCTGCACCGCTCTGCACATAACATTTAAGGCGTAGGAAACTTCCGAGCATGTTATAAAGGATGTGAGCGGATCGGATCTTCTAGCCTTGAAGAATCTTAGGCAATATGCCAAAATGCGACACATTTTATTTAGATTGGAATGTTTTGTTAACAGATCCTCTATTACGGCATTTTCAACGGTCGCGATGTGTACTGTAGTTCGGATCGATTCGGGAATATCGTTACTTAAAGTAGTAAATTCGCTGTTTGGCCAAAGTTTCTCGCGCGTCATTAAAAAGGCTGGGCCATTCCACCATAGCGTAGAATCCTGAAGTTCACGCGGATGTAGCCCCCGAGACAATACGTCTGCCGGATTGTTGGCCGATGAGACATGACGCCAAGAATTGCTGTTTGTAAGACGCTGGATTTCGCCGACTCTATTAGCAACAAATACCGCCCATTTCCGAGATGACGAGGATATCCAGTTTAGAGCTATTGTGGAGTCAGACCAGAGAAATATTTGTATGCTAGATAACGTAAATGAATCCTTGATTTTGTCAATTAGCTGAGCTAATAAAAGAGCAGCCGACAACTCCAATCGGGGCAACGAGACTGCCTTAAGCGGGGCAACGCGAGACCTTGAAACGAACAGTTCGCACCGAAAATTTTCGTGACCTATCTGTGTGCGTATGTAAACGCATGCTCCGAAGGCCCGTTGACTCGCGTCGCAAAAGCCGTGCATCTGTATTGACCTTGGCTCCGCGCTAAATTTGACGCAACGCGGAATTTGTAATTGGTTAAAATCTTCAAATTGAGACTTAAGTTTTTTCCACCGTTCGCTAATATCTGGGGAAACAGATTCGTCCCAGTGAATGCCCGAATGCCACAAATCTTGCAACAGGAGCTTTGACAAGACTACGGCCGGGCCTAATAAGCCCAACGGGTCAAACAATCGCGAAACCTCGGAAAGTATGACACGTTTTGATAGAATTTTATGTTCCTGATCAGGAATGTAAGAAAAGTGAAACTCGTCTAGAGATTGATTCCAATGCATGCCTAGGATTCGAGAATCAGATTCGCGATTGATTATGACCGTACTATTGTTTTGATCACGTATATTTTTTAATAATTCCGAGAATTAGATGCCCATTTACTGAGTTCGAAGCATCCTGATCGTAATAAACTGATGGTTTCATCCCGCACTCTAATTGCCTCGCTGAGAGAATCAGCTCCCGAGAGCAGGTCATCCACGTAAAAATCGCGCTCCACGCATGCGGAGCCCATTGGGTAAGTATCGCGATTTGATTCTGCGAGATGTTTGAGGCATCTGGTTGCCAGATAAGAAGCGGGGGTGGTACCATATGTGAGGGTTGCGAGTTCGTAAGTTTGCACTTCGGAAGATTGATCCTCCCGCCACAAGATTCTTTGATAACGCGCGTGCGAAGGCTCCACAACGATTTGGCGATACATTTTAATAATATCGGCTACAAATACATAACGGAAGGTTCGGAAACGCATTAAAATTGACATTAAATCCTGTTGGATTACCGGGCCTGTCAGGAGAATATCATTCAAGGAAACGCCGTTGCTAGTTTTACTGGACGCGTCAAAAACCACGCGAATACCAGACGATGGTGATGTGCTCTTGAATACGCAATGGTGAGGGAGATAGAAGGATTCACCTAAACTATCTGCCGAATCGGGTACTTGTTTCATATGACCGAGAGCTAGGTATTCCTGCAAAAAGTGTGCGTATTGAGCTTTGAGATCTGGATAACGTTTGAATCGTTTCTCGAGATTATATAAACGTTTTAATGCGGTGTCCTTGGAATCGCCGAGCCTGCCACTCGGCTGATCCTTGAAAGGGAGTTTGACAATATATCTGCCCTGATAGTCGCGTGCAAAATTGCCTAAGAAACTCTCCTCGCAACGAGCTTCTTCGTTAGTGTAATGTCTTGAGTTGCCAATAGTTTCGAGTTGCCAAAAACGCGCTAATTCTTCGTGCAATTGTGAATTGCTTATCGCCGCGTGAAAGGCTCGAATGCCTTGTGATCTGTGTGAGGGCGCGTTTAAGCGTCCTGCTAGTATCCATCCGAATCTGGTTTTTTGTAAAACCGGATGGTTGACCGAGGCCTTTATTTGACCGACGCATAATATGGACCAGAACATTTCCGCGCCTATAAGGATATCCACGTTAGCTGATACGTTGAAATTGGGATCGGCTAATTTAATGTTTCGCGGAATTTCAAACTCCTTTCGCTTGAGAGTGTAGGCGGGCAACTTGTCAGTTATCCTGTCTGTGACTATGCAATCTACCGGGGCCGTAAATGAATCTACTCGAGATTTGATTTGCACTTGCGCCATTTGTGAAGCCTGGGTTGTTGTATCATTAATACCGGTGATTGAACTATTTAATGAGCGTGGCTGAAGACCAAGAGCATTTAAATAACTCTTCGAAATGAAGTTGGCTTGCGATCCGCAGTCTAGGAGTATGCGGCAGGGTACGAGTGAGCCCGTGCTATTATACGCATGTATGATCGCGGTAGAAAGAATTACCCCTTGATTGCTGCGTGCGTTTAAGCTGTGCGCTGCTACAACGTTAGCTGAACTTGCCGCGTCAGACGTTTCGCGATTTTCTTTATCACTGACTGCATGTTTGGTTGAGGAGGTTGCCGCGAGATGCAGCAAGGTATTATGCTTAGACTTGCATATTTTGCAATTACCGGAAGGGCATTTGTTAGATGCGTGAGTTGTTGAGCGCAAACAATTGACGCAAATTTTCCTTTTACGCATCTCAGAAATTCGTTGTGGAATCGCGAGAGCTAAGAACTCCTTACAATAATATATGGAGTGTTCTCCGTGGCAATGACCGCATTTTGAATTAACCGTAGCGACACAGGCGGTTTGGCGACTCGACTGAGAACGCGGGTTATTTTTTGAATTGAGCGTGATTTTGCCAGTAGCTTCTAGCATCTGACATTGACGCGTAATAAATTGTGTGAATGTTTGTAATGTAGGTAAATCGGTCGTATTTAGCGATGATTGCCATTCTCGAGATGTGCGCGCATCTAATTTATTGCTCAAAATGTATATGAGAAGATCATCCCAATGAGCTGTTGGACGCCCTAAAGCCTTAAGGGCATGAACGTGTCTCATAGCGCCGTCCGCAATTTGACGCAATTCGGCGGAATTCTCCTTATTCATACACGGCAATTCCATAATCGCTCGAATGTGCGTTTGCACGATAACGCTCTTGTGGTCGTATCTTTCTTTCAATAAATTCCAGGCCACCTCATAATTTCGCGCGGAAATTTCCAAAGATCTAATGACCGTGCTCGCGTCCTCCTTCAAACAGCCTTTCAAGTATTGCAGTTTTTGTACCGCGGTAATTGACTCATTTGTGTGTATGATCGATTGGAAGGCGTCGAAGAATGGAGACCATTCGTCGTATTTGCCAGAAAAAGTCGGAAGATCCAATTTCGGAAGTCTTACATGTGCTAATGATCGCGGCAAATCGAGATCACTCGAAGGAGATCTTATTGCTTCACGCGGCGAAGGTACTGAAGGTGCTGGAGACCTTAAGAGTTCTCGCATTTTCGCGGCTAATGCATAAAAAGCATCCTCGAAATTGATGCGATGATTTTCTTCGCGCTCGTCTAATAATTCGATTTCTGTTTGCACCGATTCATAGTCGGACATGTTTTTGTTTAACTTTACTCGTCGCTCCTCGAGCTGCGCGGCTATGGAAGGCGTGACGGTGACTGCGCCTAGCGAATCAACGAACGTCTTTATGCGCGTACACGAACTCTGTAATACCGCGCGCCGCCTTTTTAGAGTCGCGAGATCTTGCTCGTTTGCCATGACGCGAAATTAGATAAAAAATATTCACACACGACAAATAATTGGTTGGCAGAACTCTCAAGTGATTGCCCTTACCTTGTGGCGATATATATATCTCTAGCGCTTTGATGAGGCGCTCGCCGAGAACAATGAGTGCGAGTTTCCAGGGGGTGCTGTCGGGATGTCCGCCGGCGCCGTGGAGTCCTGGTGATTCCGTGATCGCGTGGTCGCCGTACTGGATCCTGATTGCAGCTTCCTCGAGAGAAATGGCCCGCTCGTTCGTCCAAAATGGCTGCGTGCGTGTCCGCAGGGTCGGCAATGCTGCAGTGCCCGACACGTTCGAGGCTAGGCCGTGATTGCTGACCTCCTCGAGCTTGATTCTGAAGCTTGTCCGTACTCGTTGAGTTCCTTATGCCGTAGAATCCGCCAAGTATCCGGCTCGAAGGACCAAA